ACTAGTACTGATGATGATGAGTTCTACCTCCCTTCCTGCCCTGTGGCTTCCTAAGTCTCTGAAGTTCTTGCCCACCAACTCTTCTGCTGCTTACTTGCTTCCTTCCAGATTTATCTATACTCTGTCTTTGTCTTCTTAGGGAAATTGCATTCCTATAACTCAAAATGATTGTTACCTAATGTTGGAAGCTATGTACTTATATTTCAAGTACCAGTAGGGTCACCATTAGTAGATAGGTTTCAGTGGAGCTTCCAGACTAAGAAAGACAGGAAGCGAACCTAGCAATTTTTTTCTGGGAAAATAAAAAGGTCGGCGACAGTCTTTTGAATAGCAGCGGAATGTTGTAGACTGAGCCTGGCAGTCTGTAGTTCTGTTGTCCACGCTGTCTCTATGAGTCAGCACCAACTCAACAGAATCTGACAACATTGGTTGCTTTAACTGTGCACGTTTGCTCCAATCAGCAGAGCTTGTTCTTTTGCCTTAAAATGTTTTCTAGGAATAGCAGTGAGGAGAAGAGTGGAAGTCTATATTCTCAAGTGGAAGTCTATACTCTCGCCTCTGTCTTTGTTGACCTAAGCAGGTGGCCACATTTTGGGAGTGAGGGTGAGAGAAGTAGTCTTTTGTGATGTTTGGTTGGTATGAACACTTACTTTAAAACAAAATTTTCTATTTGGGGTGACTGTCTCCTACCTTGTTCTCCTAGTGGGCCATTTTTCTTAGAGCTAGCTGTAATTGGGCCTATTGGAATTTCCAGGTTGCTAGCTTCCCCCACACCCACTCTGAACTACATGAGATAAAAGCAAAAAATCGAGAAACTCACTATCATGTTGTCTCTCCGATCTTGAGAGCCTTACCTGGTCTGTCTGCTTTCTATCATTCAGACATCTCTTTGGTTTTTATATGCTTTGATTTTATCTGTACTTAGTGGAAAGCACATCTACTCATGTTGTCCTAATATCAAAAATCTACAAAATGTTCCTTTATTGACATTTTTATCCAATGATCATGCTACATTACTTATTCATTTAATATTTATAGGCTTTTTTGAATTCTCTATATACACAGATGGGTCATCTGTATGTAATGATTATGTAGTTCCTTTACTTACAATTTTTATACCATTTTGTTAACCCTCACTGACTGAGACTGCCAGTCTCAGTCAATACAATATTGAATTGAAATGACTAGCCCATGCATTCTTCTTGTCTCAAGGTAAATTTTTTCAACATTTCAAAATTCTCCGTATCAGGGAACATATTTGTTTAGGCATTTGTACTGGCATTCTTTATCAGATAAAGTATTGTTTTACATCATATTCCTTATTATTGATAGTTTTCAATTATTTTGAAGCTGAATCTGTGTCAAATTAATTTGAATACTTTTGTTACATTTTTCAATATGCAAATGTGAATCATATTAATTAATTTTAAAATGTTAAACTAACATTACATACCTTGGATAATACAAGTTAGTCAGTTGTATTATATTTTAATATACCAGTAGGTTAATAAAGTATTAATATCTTGCTAAGAATTACTGCATTCCAGCTCATCTAAATGTCCACATGCTTACATGTTCATGTTCATTTGTGTGAGATTGTTCTGTGAATCTCCTTTATTATAACATTTTATCAAATTGTGAAATTAAAAGCATGCTGGTGACATAAAAATAATTAAACTTGTGCTCTATTTTTTATTCACAGAAAGTGTTTGTGCAAAACTAATGTTATTCAGACTAGAAGGTAGAAAGGTGTTATTTGGGGGAGCGGGAAACACTATTCAACAAGAGGGAAATGAAGGAAAAATAGTGGCAACAGGGCATTGCAATGGGAGGTGTGGTGATTGTTGACCGTAAAACTAATAATCTGTTTTGTAAACCTTCACTCAGGTCACCAAAAAAAGTTTCAAAACAAACAGAATAAAAAGCTGGTGCTCTTCTTTCTTGATGTTAGAAAATTTCAGTAATGCAGGTTTTCTTTGTGAAAATGGTTCTAATAAGAGATTTTGTAACATTCACAAATCTCAGCCGACACAGATGTTCTAACCCTGCTGCTGGCATCTTGAATCGTGTATCTTACAGAAAGTTTTCTATTTTAATCCAGTATTGAGTTTAATGATGAAATCCAGCTGGTCAATGCAGTATGAGAATAAGATTCATAGGTCAGTGTGAGATTTGCCACATCCCCTTTCTTCTTCACCACGAATAATGGTAGCTCATGTTGAAGCGATGCCCTCCTCACTATGACCACCACAAACAGAAACGACCTGGCTTGTAACCCACACTAGTTTTGCTGTATGGATGAAAAATCAATATTTGTTTAATAAGTAAATAGAAGAAATCCTCGTGGCAGAGTGAGTTAGACATGGTCAAAATTGACAAGATTCTTTGAAAACTACGAGCTATATTTTTTATTTGAATAAGAGTATTAGATAGTGTATTAAAGATGAAATATATCAGTATTAGATATGCTACCCTATAAATTTCTTAACTTTATGCTTCATTATTGTTAATACAAAGGTGTCCTTCTTTTTCACAGCATTTAATGTTATACTGCAAATAAAAACAGCCTTTCAAAAGGATGAAAACAAATCAGTGCTAATACTAAGTTGTATGTCCTTAGATACAAAGAGTGCTATTGCCTTGTTTCTAGCTGCCTTAGACACTTATTTTAATTTATCTCACAAAGTATTTTCTTTATATTATACACATGCTAAGACTAATTACTATTTTGTGTATTTTTGGTCATCTCTTCCCAGAATGCTAAAGAATTATAGATTTTTTTCATTCACAAGTGTCACTTTTTCCATATATCTGTGATTAGTGGAAAATTGTGGTAGTAAAAATTAACCTTTTATAGTAATTTCTTGCAAAATCAACTGGATTATTTGTATGTTCAATTGCTATAATTCTGTTCAAGTTTAAACCTCAGTCACATCATCTGTTGGTAGTAATGTTAAAATGCAGACTGAGAATTCAGATAGCCTTCTGGTTACAAAGTTGACTTTTTATAAATGAAATCATATGATTTATGGGTATTATGGGATGAAATACTTAACTGGTAACTCACCTTACTTATTTATCTATCTGACATTGGGGGTTTGGCATATTTAAAGGCATTATTGTGTTTATATAGGATTGAGGAGTTATGTAAAAAGACTTGGTCAATTCTTGCTTCTCTAAAATCTTTCAGAGAGTTTCCTACATCTCAATGAAGTTTCTTACTGTACAATTACTCCTCCAGATGGCAAAAAGATCTCCTCCCTAATTATTAACATCCAGTTACTACAAAAACAAAACCATCATGCTTGGTAAAGCAGATGACTAGTGAAGGCAATGGGAGCCTTCTAAGTTGGACTGACACCGTGGCCAAAGCAGTAGATGCAAACAAAAGGATAATGAAGATGCTGTAGGTAGTGCTCTGTTATCCATGAGATCACTGAGTTGAAGTTAACTCTTTGGCATAACAACCAACAACAATAAGTATTACATTGTTCAAAGAAGATCTAACAACCTCCTTTATTCATTCTACACATTTTTAATTGGATTTCTATGCTATATGTTTTACTAAGGACATTTTAGTAAACTTTAGGTATATGAAGATGGTAAAAACATAATTTCAACCTTTGAAGAATTTATCAAACATTCTTACCTTATGTTCTCTTTGCTGCCCAATTTAGGTGGATATAATCCACTGACTAAAAAACAGCTCTAAACATTAAAATAATCCATAGACTATTTGTGTATTCAATTTACATTTCATTTAATTCAGTTTATTCTGACATTGAATGTCAATTTAATATACCATTAGATGCAGGCAATAAGCAAACATGTGCCTGAGGCTTAGTTTAACTCTAAGCATAAAACCATTGTCAGTGAGGTGTTCTTTGATAATGATGACAGCAGTAAAAATCATCTCTAATAACTGATAAAGGAGAAAATTCCATGAATGCATATTATGCATGTGTTACAACATTCAAACACAAGCAGCCGTGGACAGATGGGTGTCCTGTGAATGTAAGTAAAGTGATTTAACATTTTATCACCCTTTTCTTATCATCACTGATAAAAGTCATTTCAATGAATAAATTATTGTTGCCTGACTCTATTATGAGTCAGGCAAAGTACACATGTACCATGTACCAAAGTACACATGTTCACCTTTATTGTTATTTTTAGTCTTTATAACAGTTAGTGTTCATTCTATGACAGGTACGCATGATTGCATGAATGCTACAAATAAGGAAATTAAGGGTCCCTTCATTTAACTAATTTGTCCAAATACACATTGTTTGTCAAATACACATTGTTTGTCAAAATACACATTGTTTGGGATCCAAAGAGATGCTTGAACCCACACCATCAGTCGATTGCCCTTTCAGTTACACTACTGGCTGGATAATAAGTAGTGTAGTGATATGAGAAAGCTAATATATCTAGTTTGTAATTGTAAGATTGTCATAAAGGTGAATTTTAATTCATTTTATTATTTGTTATCTCTAAATATTTAGTGGAAGCAAGAAATACATTCAAATCTGTTATCAATTAACTGAAAACAGCTAGTTAAAATAAGATACACCTGGAACAAAAAAGCGTACAGCCCATATCAAGGTGGAGAAGAAGCTGACTAGAAAGCTTGAAAACAATGGTTTGTATTTGTATATAATTCTAATAGTCTGAATGCAAAGAGTGTAATAATATGTGGGCAAATAAATGGATACGTGAAAGGAGATAAACTGATAGCAGAAAGATTTGCTTTAAGAAAAAAAGGTTGAAGACAGCATAATTTGATATGACAATTTTTCTTATAGTTCACATTTATTTATTTTTATTTTTTATAGTTCACATTTAAATGATAAAAATAAATATATGAGTATTATTACTTAATCAAAGAAAATTAAAAATCTGGGTTACCATCTACTAATTCATTAGTGAAAAAAAAGAAAAACATTATAACTTCGTATTCTCTACCTTCAACAATTTCCTCCAGCTTCTCCCATCTCTTACTTTTTCCTAGTAAGATCACTCCTGTCCCACAGCTTTCGCATGGCTGACTTAACATTTTGGTTCCGTAGAGTGTAGATGAGCGGATTCAGCATGGGGGTGATAACATTGTAGAGCACAGATACCATCTTGTCCACAGAAAAAGTAGAAAAAGGCCGAGCATAGATGAAAATGCAGGGTCCAAAAAAGAGTGTTACCACCATGAGATGGGAAGCACAGGTAGAGAGTGCTTTTTGTCTTCCTTCCTTGGAGCGAATCTTGATCAGGATAGTGGTATAGGAAGAAACCAGTACCACAAAGGAGCTGGTGGAGATCAACCCACTGTTAGACACCATTAGCAGTTCAATGACAAAAGTATCTGCACAGGCCAGTTTGATGACAGGAGGAACATCACAAAAGAAGTTGTCCACCTGGTTTGGTCCACAGAAAGGGAGATGGATGGTGAGAATTGTCTGAACAGTGGAATGCACAAACCCCCCAGTCCAAGAAGCAACGACCAAAAAACAGCATAATGCTCTACTCATGACAGTGGTGTAGTGTAGGGGGCGGCAAATCGCCACGTAACGATCGTAGGCCATCACTGTGAGCAGGAACATTTCTGCGGCCCCTACGAAGTGCAGGAAGAAGAGCTGCACAATGCACTGGTCATAGGTGATGAGCTTGTCCTTATCAAGGAAGTCAGCTAGAAGCTTTGGTGTCGTTACAGTTGAGTAGCAGAGGTCCAGGAAAGACAGATTGCCAAGCAGGAAATACATGGGAGATGAATTCAGTTGGCTATCAGAGGCCACGGTGAGCATGATAAGGACATTGCCCACCCAAGTGGACACGTAGAAGAAGAGAAATAATACGAAGAGCCCTGCCTCAATGCTTGGTGACTGGGAAAAGCCTGCCAGGACAAATTCTCTCACAAATTCTGTCTGGTTTTTATCCATTTGACCTGACTTCACCTAAATAAAAAATAAATAAATAAAAATAGGACATTAGTTAACATTAAAAAGGAATGATCTATTTTATACCAATCTCAAGAATGTGTTCATTGCAAAAGATATATTTTCTGTAAAATAGATACTGACTGATTAGCTAGAAGAAATTATTTTATCCTTTGCTGTTATGACTATATGTACTTACCAATCAGCTCCAATCGTGAGGCAATAATGAAGTGAGATGAGATGCTTTGGAACATTAAGTCACTTGGTCCTGGCCATTTAAATCTAGTTTCTCTCTTCTATAAATCAAAACTTTCTTTCTCTCTCCTTTCAACATGAAATCTCAAGAAATATGTTACCCTTCTCCCTAGATACTAATACTTAGAATATAAAAATCTTTAGAAAAAGTATGAAGGGAGAATGTCAAGAGAAATGTAAGATTCTAGTGAACAGACCTTAGGATGCAGAGGTTTTATTTGGTATACTCATCATACAACATAGGTGGGTAAGTTGCTTTATTAAACCTATAATTCCAATCAGACTAGCTTGAGTGGGAGTCTCCTTATATAAATGACTGAAGAAAGATATTAGGCCTATGGCTATTTCATTGACCCCCTACCTAATTTTTAGGTTGTCTAACTTATTATCATCTATACCAGGAGACTTCAAAACATCCCAGAAAAATTAAGTTAAAAATAATGGAATCTTTTTCCAAAAACTTTTTGAAACCCCCAGTAAAATACGTTAGTCATATTCAATCATACTTATGGGCATATTGGCAAAAATTACACTTTTCATGGTCTAAAGATAATCATAGAATCACTTTGAATGCATTTGGATAACTGCTAGTTTTGACTATCCTACCAAAGTGAGAAAAAGGAATTGCATCTCCAAAATTCAAATTAGCAATTCCTTTAAATATGTTTGGTATATATTTTATCAACATCCATGAAAGGAATGACAAGCACATGCTACTGTATGATGTGAAATGGGTTATATTTCATTTAGAATTCTGGGGGATAGTGAGAGTTGCTATTGAGTGAAATTCCACAGTCAAGTTCTGCCACACACAGAGCAATATTTTGAGAAATTAAGATATACTTCATAATTTAAATCTTAGAATCTTAGAATCTAAAAATTTTGTGTATCTCAGTTTCTGCTTTTTCTAAATCCGTGAGCTGTATACTTTCATTTGATCACATTGTTCAGAACAAAATCTTTAAAGTAATTTCAAACAAAAATTAATGGGGAAAAAATAGAATAGTTAAATATATATTTTTTAAAGCCCACATTTTTATATTATTTTATCAAAATGAAATGTGTCTTTAATGAGAGAAATTATTACATAATAAAGGAAAGGGGGTTTCAGTTATATATGAAATATAAATCTATAAACATAGGAAATTAAATTATACAAGCAACTAGACTAACAGTAAAGACTATGGAATATTTATAAATGGTGATGTTGACTTTGGGATTTGTCTTCTTATTCATAATTTTCAATTTATGGCAATGAACTCAGTTATATTATGATAACAATATAAACTGGAAGTGAATGCCTGTAAAACTATAACCATGCATACGTTTTCTTTTTATATAAAAATTTGGGACATGTGGGAATTATTTGTCTTCTATAAGTTAGTTATTATTTAGTTTCATTAAAAATTTCAGTGTGAAATTTTATTCAAATACAACCCATATACCTTATTTTGAAACTAATAGTTGTTGTCTAAGTACAACATTAAATAACTTCAGAATTTTTTTAAAGGCAAGTTTGTTTTTGTTTCCAAGAAATAACATACCATTCATTAACTTTTATGTATTAGTTTTGGGTGGATTGACAAAATAATTCATGCTTATTACTGAAATTTAGAAGCATGAAATATATGGGGGAAAAATCATTCTTTCCCCCAATACAAGATAAACACTTCTAACTTTAACAATAATTCTTAAAGCCCTTTTAAACTTCACTGTTTGATGCATTACTAAATGTCACTTGCATATTCAGGTAGATGTAGCACTAAGAAGACCACAGATAGCATTTAATTCTGACCCTGTGGTAGAGAGAGACACTGAATCAGATAGATGATAGATGGATAAAGATGACATGGTCATGAAGAAAGGCATTCAGTTTAATAGAATTTAAGGCAAACTACATACCTTTTGTCTGTAATGTATGGATTCTTAGATCCTACAGTCACAGATGCCTAGCACATTAATACTAAATAATCAGCCCAGTCAAGAAGCTAAATAAAATTGGATGGAACCCTGTGGCTACAATAATAATCATTAAGAGTTTTTGATGTTTAGGGACGTAGGGATTCAGGTACTCACTGTCAAATTGCAAAGGGAATTATTAAAAAACTTTAATCACAGCGTCTTACCAGAAACCAGGGAATGTAAAAATGCAAGTGCATTGGCGGGATGGTGTGATGAAATAGTAAAAAGCATTGGATGAGAAAGGAAACAGAAGCAAACTGATATGATGGATACAATGCTAACAGTTGAGTTTTATTGAGGTGAGGTAAGGGTTCTCCTGAACCATAAGTCTGAGGCTGATGGGAAAAGTAATACAACATTGAAGGAATCTTAACTACAGACGATTTGTATTTCTCCTAAAACTATAACTTTGTGCTGCTTTCTCCTTCCGGAATACCTTTCTTAAAAAGGGCTATTGACTTCAGATTTTAGTTCATCTTATTTTTTCAAACATTACAGAACTATGTAACATAAAAATAGAAAAGGAGGAGTAGGAAAAGAAATAGGAAGAGAAAGGCAGAGACAATTAGACAAGCTGATATTTTAAAAGCTTGAATACATGTTATTCTACTTCTGCGTATGTATTTTTCTACCATCTTATTTTATTCCTCAACAACACATTGTGAATATTATTTCATATTTTTATGTTCTGTATCCCAATCTAATTTTCTTGACTGACGAGTACTCAATAAAAATCATGAGTGGACTTCCAGGAAGATGGCAACCAGGTAGACTCACCCACCCTGTGCTGCCATGGCTAGATCAGAAAATTAAGAGGTAAGGAGGCCAATACTGGGAGGCCAGGTGCTATAAATAGAATCCCAGTGTCCTAGGGTTTGTGGTTGAGACCTCCCCTTATAATTTTCACCCAAGGAGCAATTCAAGGGCTTCTGCAGCATTCTAACTCACTGTGCCTACCCATGGGCTTTCTATTCCCCTTGCCAGGGGCAGTAGGATTGCGTTCCCTACCCCTTCCTGCACCCAAGATCCAAGACCTGCCAGCATGCTTTAATTTCCCCAGACTGCTGTCTAAGTGTGGGTCATAATCCCAGGCCCCCAGAGAGCCTCTGAAAACCAGCAATGAGAGCACATTCAGGCACTTCCCTCTCTGCTCCCCTCTCGGTTCATGTATTCTTGGGCTTTGTACCCCACTCCCAACCCAAGAACAGAGGGACTGCATTATCCATCCCTTTTGCCCTTCCCACCAGCTCCTACTACTGCCTGCCAGAATTTTGTAATGAAAGATAAATAGATAAAAATTTACTACAATCAGAGAGCAGTGGCATCTACCTATTACAAGACCCAGAGTCATTTACCTAAGGCAGATCACAGACCCCTGGAGCACAGCCTACGGAGTTGCATGAGAGTTAGCTGGAGGGGAACTGGGAGAATGCAAACCCAGTGAACCCCAAACCCACTCATCCAATTTAATCCCCCTTCCCTGTGGGAGAGCACACTACAGCCCCCATACCAGGACATGCTGCAAGCCCCTAAAAATCAAGACAAAACACACAAAAGAATTTTAACATGGTCATTACAATGCTGTGTTCCTTTACATAACTTTGAATCTGAGCCACCACATGCTTGGTACATTAACAAAGCTTTAAAATAACAAACCAAGAAAAATCACCACGTGCTTAAAGTCAGCAGCCGTGGCTAAAAAACAGGTTTTACAAGGTTGGACTTCACAAAGAGTCTTTGAAAGACTGTTTGAAGGCCACACAATAGTAAGTCAGCAAAACAAGTCTTCCACATAACACACCAGCCTCCTGAGTAAGACATTGCCATACTCCATCCCATAGGCTACTTAGGAAGAAGATAGAAATAGACTCTATCCCCCTAGTCCACCCTTGGCCACTTCCACCATCCGAAAAGAGCAAACAAACTTCATCTCATCTGACCTGATTCACCAGAAGCATATTCTCTGAAGATAATTACTCAAATCACAAGAATAAAGCTCTCACAGCCATACCAGATACCAAATCATCCCCCTAACGTGAATCCTCACCCCATCTCTGACACCCTATAAGACCATAAGGCAGTAAAACATCAAACAACCGAACACTGTCCCTACATAATATAGAGGGTCAACAAGGCACCCTGGTATATTCTCTAAATTCCTCATTTACTCGCACCATGATAACCTCCGGAACCTGTTCCCTTCACATCAGCAACACACAGCCTCCTTTAACTTACCAAATGAAGGCTTTCTAGGGTGAGAGCCAGCCCCCAGGGAGACATAAACCCCACTTGAACTCACAGCGTAGCTGGCTGAAGATAGTCACTAGACCAATTTTCATTAGCTTCTGAGAAAGAAAACAGGGCTCCTTTCTCTGCCACAGGAATTACGACTCATCACGTCAGGGTTATTCAGCGATCTTGCCCATCCCGGATAAGGTAGCCAGAGAACACTGGGTTGCACTGACCCTGCCCCAAACCAAAAACTGGGTTGCACTGACCCTACCCAAAAAAAGTCCCTCCTTACTGGGGCACCCAGAACAATAACCTATATCTACCTTGGGAGTGTAAATAAAGAGAGGAGAACTCAGAGTTGAGCAGCAATCTATTATTATAAAAGTGCTTTCTGTTATAAATACATATAATTAAAGTTCTGTACTTTCCCTTTCATAATTTAGAGGGTTGATAAGGGACTCTGGTAGATTAATATACCCATCATACACCCCAACTGCCACAATCTCTAGAATCTGCTTCCACACCTTGACAATACCTATTCACCAACTTACCAA